ATCCCAGGCACAGAGGTGAGACTGACAGGTCAGTAGTTCCCAGGGTCCTCCTTGCTACCCTTTTTAAAAATTGGAGCAATTTTTCCTTTTTCCAGTCACAGGGGACTCCACCTGACTGCCAGGACTTTTCCAATGTCATGGAGACTGGCTTGGCAACTACCTCAGCCAATGCCCTCAGGACTCTGGGATGCATCTCGTCGGGTCCCATAGACTTGTGCATGTTCAGGTTCCTCAGGTGGTCTCGAACCTGATCTTCTCTTAATGGTTCATGAGAAAGAAAATCTCCCAACCTTTTGAGTTTCTCTGGAACTTGATATATATGCCTGGAAACTACATGTGTTACATTTACAGACTGAACCAGGTAGTGTGTGATTTAGAATGCTGGGATCATTCTCATTCGTGTGAGAGCTCCAGAAGCATGTCTATCCAAAGCTATTAACAGAGCCAATTGAAATAGTTTATAACATGTTGGGAATCACCAGTTTTGTTTAGATTCCTGTAGAATTTAGGAAAGAGTACATTTTGGTACAGCACAAGAACAGCTTTGTTGATGACCTGTCATGTCTTCCATCATTACTTCAATTTTAAGGTGCCATTTTTACTGTCATTACTACTGTATTATGTACAACTGTCAAAAAAACTTAATGTGTATATGAACAGAAACCAACATTTGATCCCAAAGCAGGATAAGTAAATAGGAATGTCAACCCCTTTCTGAATGGTAACATCTTAACTCAGAAACGCAAAGTTCAAAGTATATATTCTTTTCAGTATATCATGTGCAATTTCAACTTATTAATATTTTTTAAAAATTATTTTTACCTGTAAGTTCTCAAAAATTGTAATTTTCCACAAATGAAATCCTCTGTACTCTCAAAAAATTTCCTTTATTTCCATTTCAAAAGAAGACTAGAGCACCAGTGGACAATCTTCAAGTGTATTTGTCTTCTATAGTATTTCTACATGGTGTTCTGATCCCTTTGGGTTTTTTTGCATAGCAGCAAGCAGGGACATTTACTGATATGAAGTGTCTGCACTAGATTTACAAGTTGAGTCATGTCAGTCCATGCAAGCCCGCAAGTCAGGTCAGTGCAAGAGATACATGGATATTTTTTTCACATATGGATTTGAAAATCTAGGTTTGTGAGTCTGGCATAAAGTTTGAAAAAAACCAGAAACACTTAAGAATGGGAGGAAAAGAAGTTAAATATATAGATTTTGAGTTTAAGATAAAGTTAAGATTGTCCTAGAAATTATTCTCTTAATTTTATATTTTTGAGAGTCCTGTATCTGTAATACTCAAGCATTTCATTTGAAACATATCATTGCTTCTAGAGCCACAATTTTCCAAGGAACAAGAGCTCTTTGCTAGTATCAACACCACAAGAGTGAGGCTGAACTTGATAGGCTGGAATGATGGTGGCTGCCCCATCACCTCCTTCACCCTGGAGTACCGGCCATTTGGGACAACAGTCTGGACAACCGCTCAGCGGACATCCCTGTCAAAGTCCTACATACTGTATGACCTCCAGGAGGCAACCTGGTATGAACTGCAAATGAGAGTGTGCAACAGTGCTGGCTGTGCAGAGAAACAAGCCAAATTTGCAACACTCAATTATGATGGCAGTAAGTATATCTTTTTATTTACATGCCTGGGATACTGTTTTCACTCTAGTTTCTTATGTGATTTTTATTATTGGTCTTTCTTTTTTACCCCCCATAAAACCCTGTTTGAATCTGCTAGCCATGCTGACAGAGGGGTAGCAGTCTCAAAGACATAAAATGCCTACTGATTTCATGACAACAGGCTGCCAGGCAGAAAAGTGGAATTGTTTATTTCTCTTCGCTGACGAAAAGCTCAGGCACCAGTCAATCAACCATGACACACGTAACCATAGGACAGTAGGTGTCATTAGTTCCAGTGGCCACAGAAGCACTTGCTAGTATTTCGTGTGTCTCTTCCATGAAATTTTTGTCTCCCATACAATTGGTTCCCGCAGCCATTCATGGCTTTGACTGGCCTCATTGCTATTCCATGCAATGTCCTTGTGACACAGCTCAAACCCCATTATGTGATACAAGGGAGCAGCTAACTAGCTTGTCTGCCGGGGAAGCCTCCGGACAACATCCTCCAAGGGCAAAGCAATGGCAATGCTATTATCCCTATTTACAGACAGGGTAGAGTGAAACTAATGGCCATGACAGATGGCTCTGCTATGCCCAGCAGCAGGGCACAGGGGATGAAGGAATTGTTGCATCCTGCCCTTCTGCCAGGGGTTACTGCCCACCCTGAAAAAAACAGAGCAAGAGAGCAAGAGCAAACATGCCAATTTGCCAGTCACTCCAGCTCATACCTTGGTATGTTTATTGAAAGTGATGGTGGCACGCGTGTGCTTCTGCTGGCTCTAAAGTGGGAAATGACTATATTTCTGGCAAAAAAGGCAGTACAGATGGCTACAGATGGCCAAGAGACGGTAATCTCTTGAATTGCTCTAGTGTGAATTGCCAGAGCTCTTCTGGAGGCATCCAGTGTAAAATACTGTTGTCTTGCCAGGGATATTGTGCTGTATTGTGCAACCACTTGGTGACCTCTGCACTGTTAAATTAAGCAACAGGGCTAGTGAGCAAGTTCAAGCAAGAACTGATAATTGTCCAACGACAGTACCAAATTGCTAATCGTTCATAACAGTGTTGGTAACACATCTCCCTGCCACAGTTTTGTCCCACGCAAACCACCATTCTCCAGGACAATACCCATGTATGGCTCAGGGAAGAGTAAGCACCAGGGACCATTCCCAGTCAGAACTGGGGGCTATGAATCAGGCAGGGTTTAAACCTCAGCATCTTACACGTCTTCTAATGCTATCCCAGTCTTTGCACTAGGTATTCATCAGTTCTTGCAGATAATTAACAATGTATGCCCTTGTGGCTCACCCTTTGGCACATCCCTTCATGTTTTCCTGAGAAAATATCATTTTGGTAAGCTGCCACACAGTTCTCATGTTATTTCAGACAGTTTTATTAAGAGAAAGGTTTTATCTCAGCACTTTAGAGGCCCACAGGAAGGAAGAGGAAGCCAAGATCCAAGTAGTTGTTATACAAAAGCTGCCAGGTCTTGCCAGGTAGACTTAGGACCTGTTTTACTGAGCAGTATAGATGTTGTCCATAATAACTGTTTCAATTAGTATGAATTAATTTCTTGCCACTTTGCTTAGCCTATCCTCTTTTCTTTCCAGTATCTTTCTGCAGGCAGCATCTAATTTTCAGTAATTTTTTTTTTTTTTTTTTTTACATTTACAGTTATTGTTGCATATATATGACTGGGACAAACAGTCTTAAGTCATACCTTAAAATGAAAGGTATGAAAATGCAGGTCCACAGCCTTAAATTCCCACTGATAGCAGTGAAATCAAATGTATTCTTACAATGAACTGGTTTGAAATGTTGTCAGACTCTGCTTTTTGATTAGGTGATACCTTTGTTTCACATACTGTGACCTGCACACCCTTTGATTTTCTGTGTTGCTGTATGACATCTTCAAAAGTGAGAAAACAAAACAATAAAAATATATATAGTGTTAAATTTCCTGGGCCACTGCTTCTGGTCAGCTAGAAAATTTCCCATTTACAACATTGATGGTTTTGTTTGTCAAGCGTGCTTTGCCAGGACTATATTGTGCCTTAGAGAGGCAGCATGATCTCAAATACTGACCATAAAGTTAAGACAGGAAAATATGGATGGAAAAGCAAATTTCAGTTTTCAAATTTTCTGAATTTGTTACATTTGCTGCAGAACTAAAATGATAAACTGATTATTAATATAATTATCATTACTGAAAATTAAAATAGTCTATTCCCACATAAGAAATTTCATAGAAAAACTATTGCAGTGCTTTTAGAGCAGAAGTTGTCCCTACAGAGTCCCAGCTCCCCATTCATTTGTTCCCTGGTAAGCTGTGCAGGCTTAAGACACTTCAGAGTTGGAAAATAGTGTCTGATTAGAAATCAACATTTTCTATCAATACTTCATGCAGAAATTTTTGCTTTCATAGGGAGTGAATTTTTCACTTACAGAAGGCATGCTGTGGAAACTTCTTAGCCAGCTCCACTTTTGAGTGCTAACTCGACCTCTACCGTTGATTCATCTTGTGATGTGAGATTAGTCCCTTCCAGCTCTAGAGGTCACAGCTGCTATTAGGATAAAACAGATACAAGGATAGTACTTTGAAGATTAGACAATACATGTATGAAAGTTCTAGGATACCAAATGTTAGGAACAAGCTTAGGAGCTTTAGCAGTCTTAAGATAAAGCCTTTGTAAACTTTATATACATCCTTGAGTTACGTTGTCTTTCAGTCATTTTGTTTGGTCTGCTGTAGCTGATTGTTATCTCTGATAGAGCTCCTGAGAAATAGCATGGCTAAGTATCCTTTACCTTAAATCTCTTCATGGTGAATTTGGTCAAAAGGTTAATGACAGATCTACGTGAGACTTTTTGCTTTCTGTTCATAGATATTTCAGCTAACCATTTTCAGCTTACAGATTTTATGACCTTCCTGCCCTTTGTTTTTCAGAACATTTGCACTCAATACTTAAGGAGATATTTTTAGCAGTGTGCAGCACTGCGAAGGAGCTTCCTGACTCAGAGGTCAGCTAGTCAGTAGCCCTGACATTAAATCAGATCAGCTTGGTAGCTGCTCTAAACTACGCTAATTGATTCTAGCCCACCAGGCAACTTCCTACCGTGAAGAACAGTTAGGACACAGGAAAACACTCGGCAGTCCAAAAGCCACAAGGTGCAATGGGAGATGCTGGAAGGGCTGCAACATAGGGGAAAATGAGGTCAGAGACATTAAAATTACAACTTCTATAAAGCACCAGTAAACGAGGCTAACAAAGGGCAATGGGGAATTGACCTGGAAAAAAAAAATCAACCTCCCAATTTGTCTGGGACTTTGTTCTGCGAAAAGCTTTGTCTATTACACTCCTAGCCAACACCTAGAGTGACAAGAAATGTTGAAATGATGTTTTCTCAATGCATAGCAGGTTTAGTTTTGGGTAATTTCTAATACAGTTGCTGAATATCCACAAATGGATAATGTGAAGGATATATAAACTTGCAGTATGATTTTTCAATTAAGCTTGTATTTCCTGTATATAACATTACAAGGTTTACATTTTACTTGGAAGAGCTATGGAAAATGATAATCACTTACCTAAACACTTAAGGTTTAACTGAAATTTAGGCCACTCTTAATTTGCTTTGCATGAAAGCATTAAGGAGAGCAAGACATAATTTTAGGTAATATTGAAACCAACAATCCTTAGCGAATGGCCTGTGCGACTTTAATTCAGAGCAAAATTTGGCCCTTTAGTATTCAGGGGGACTTAGGTGGATTTAGAGACAGTTACTAGTATTACATTTAGGAGCTTGAAGGTCTTTCCATTTCTTCATCTAATCATTTTCTTTGCCTTTAGAGTAGTGCAAAACTGTGTCTCAGTTAAGACAAGATGAAAAAATCCTGCAGTGTGTTTATTCCAAGAAATGGAAAATTAGAAAAAGAAGGAAAATTATGGGGAAGAACTGCAGTGGAACAGTAGAAAAATATTCAAAATGCAATTGCAAGAAAATAAATTTTCCAAAATACCTGATACAATTTTGGATGGTTGTATCTTTTCTGTTTATCTCCATCCCTTTAGGGAACTACTCATTATATGCAACTCAAATAGCTCTCCTGAAAAAACATGGCTTAGAATTCTACATTTTTACTGTGGTTATGGCATTCACATTATACTGCATCACAGAACTATTTTTTTTTTCTTTTCTGATACTGTATGGTACATAATGAGATACCACACAATGCAGCAATTAAAATATAAAAAGGATGTGCCTGTTTTTCTAACTCATCCTCCTAACCTTTTAGCAAGCAAGTAGCCACTTTTATGTTTCAGTAGCTGGTTAAAATTGAATAGCTTCCATCGAAAGTCATCACAGTTCACAATACTTGCGTGTTTCTAACCATTTCAAACAAATCTGCATTTTATAGCCTCATTGGTGGTTGCATTCAGCAGTTTAATAGTAATCAGGAAATGAGTGAGAAGCCTTCCATGACTAAACAGCCTTTGAAAGAAAGTGCTGCATTCTTCTCACGTCCTTTAGAAGTAAAGAAAAAAAGAATTGAAAAGTTCAAGTATTACATATCACCAGGAAGCCAGGTATATTCAAAATGCAAATATGTCCCAAAATGAATAAGTGAGCTGCCTGCCGATGCCAGTAGTTTGTAGATTCATTTCCCTCATTTCACTCTCAAAATTTGATTGTTTCTCTCCAGCGTTACTCTCCTGTTTTACTGATGAGTATAATGTCAGACACTCTTCAGCAAATTAGCTTCAGGTTGGCTACCTGAATTTCAGATCAATGTCACTGCTGCACCCCTAAGATGTGATACAAGAATGTTTCCGTGCAAAGGATTAATCTAATGTATGTAGCACAAAATGAACTTTGTCAAAGTCATTCCTTACAAAGGAGAGCCCAGCAGAAAGCATGAATGTCACAACGGTGCTATTTTCCCATAGTAAGAAGTAATATACATAGCTAATAATTCTGAGGTGTCTTGCAGCTTTGTAAATGATCTAATATTACTTAAAATTAATTGTAGTATTTTACTGTGTAATGGGTATGGTTTTCTTTCATCAGTGAATGCACCTCTTCTCGATTTCTGGTACTCTATGAGTCTCTGCAGTCCGTGCTTTGTTACCAGCGTGACCGGTGACACGTGCACGGCCATTACACATGCAAACGTAGCATCCACCCTGAAAATGACAAATCCTTCTTAACGTTCTGCATGCAGCTGAAGCCTATAACATGACACATTCCCTGAGAACTCAATCTTTTGTCTTCATTAATAGGCATCTAATATCATGACACTGTTTCCAGGTACAATCCCTCCACTCATTAAGTCAGTTGTGCAAAGTGAGGAAGGGCTGGCAGCCAACGAAGGGCTAAAGATGCTGGTGACCATTTCCTGTATCTTGGTTGGGGTCTTGCTGCTTTTTGTGATGCTGCTGATCGTGCGGAGGAGGCGGAGGGAGCAGAGACTGAAGAGGCTGCGAGGTAAGATGAGAGCTGTGGCACTTATTTCTGCATATGCATACTCCCTGAACATGAAATTAGAAGTGGGGCTGCACGTGACCAAACTGCTGAATCCCCAGTCAGTGCCATTTTCCTGCAATACGTAACAGACATGAGGCGACAAAGCATATGTGTTTTTTACAGAAATTCCTTCTTTTTCATCTGGTAGCGAGTTTCTAAAAAATTACTCTTGTATTCATCGTTGTTATTTTGCAGGAGCGAAAGCAGAATAATTCTCATGTGTTGGTGTTTGTTTTCTTTTTTTTTGGTGTCGTTTGTTTCCCTTGTGAATGGTCTCAATAACCTAAAATAATTTTTGTCGAAGGGTAAAATCAGATGTTCTGAAGATGAGGGGATTTCAGTTTTCCAGCAGATGCAAACCATGATTTCCAAATTACAAAATGAAAGTAGACACATGTTAGTAGGCTAGAAAACGCAACCAGATAGTCTCAGATTTTTACCACATCTTTTTCCCTATGATGTGTTATAACAGAACTATTACAACACTTCATTGTTCACTGACCTTTCATTGTCGCTGATCTGTACTTTTCACTAATCCTTATTCAAATTCAGGTGTTTGCTATGTGAATAAGTTTTAAATCTGTAAATTCATTCAATTCTATCAATCTTTCAGTAAATACCCCTGGCTAAGCCACAACCAGGTTTTTGACCCTTGCAGTCTGCCACTTCTGCAATGGCCCTGTAGGTTTTGCACTAGCATGTGACAGCAGACCTGACACTGAAGTTATTGGGGAAAAAAACCTTTCAAATCACACGCTGGATAAATAGTAAAGTGATTTATCATCTGCAAAAGTAAGTCTAATCATTTCCAAGAGCCACCCTATTGTTTAGTTATTTGTATGTTAACCAAAATATGATCATGATGTATATAAAAAATGGGGCCAACCCTGTGTATTCCATCTCATCTTAGCATTTACTTGTCTCTCTTTAGAGTCTCATTTTGTCTTTTGTAACAATATGTTGGATGTTTTGGAAAAAAAAAAAAGACACATAAAGGACTCAGTCATGGGCAAATTGATAGATCAAAGAGGACAGCTAGCCTTATGGTTCATACACAGCTCTGGAAATCAGGGCATCTGGATGCTTTGGCTTGTATAATAACTTCTCATTAGAAATCTTTTTAGTCATTTACCTCTGTGTGGTTTTTTTAATCAAAAAAGTGGTGGATTAAGTGTGAAGAAAGTCTTATCTTCTCAGAAATACTGTGGAATTCCATCCAGTAATGAGCAGGATATTTTGAACTCCTCAGCTCCAGGAAATGATGTCTATGCACATCTATTTTTTCATGTCTAATTTACAAGTATTCATAGATTCTTGACTTACAATCCCTTAAGGAAGGCTGGTGGTGACTGGCCAGTATGGCTTTTGCATAACATAAGACCTCTCTGAATTATTTCCTCTCAGAATATAAGAATCTAGAAAAAGATCTGATCTTCACTTAAACATAGGCAGTGACAAAGAATTCATCAGTACTTTGATAAAAATCATAAGTATTTAACTACCATTTCTGTAAAAGTTGCGTCTCACTTCTTACTTGAATTTGTCAAGCTATAGCTCAACATCCCAATCATCTGGTCCTGTTATAGATCTGTCTGCCATACAGGGACTGTTTTTGTAACATCTTTTCAGTCTCTGAGGATATTCCTTTTACATGGTGGTAACCAAGTAATTTCTTAATGATTTAATTGGTAAATGACACAGACTAATTGTCTTTAATTTTTCTCTGTTGTTTTTATTATTTATTAATTTTAAGGGTTTTATCTGGTCCCTTTGCAACCTTTAGGTAACTTTCTGCATCTATGTATGCTAGAAATTAACACAGTATTCCAGCAATAGACGTATTAGCATCAGAAAGAGAGGTAACAGCCTTTCTTCTTTCCCTTTATGGTCTTCTGTCTGTATCTGCAAGGACGACTTTTTTGGGTACAGCATTATTTTAAAAGTTTGCATTTAACATCTTATCCAATGAGATCATCTGACAGTTCTCTGGTTACAGTGCAACAGGATAACGTTCTCCATTGTACAGCTATGGACTGTATTCTTGATATATGACCTTATACTAATACAGATACATTGCTAATTTGTGGCCTAGCTGATGGCCCAGATTGGTATGCTTTAGTGACCTGACATTTTCATTATATTTTAGCTACCTAAGTCCTGTGTAATTTTCAAATTTTTATCAGATACTGTTTCGTTTACTCCAGGCCACTGATGAAAGTAGTAATGGTGTGATGTCTCATTGGGCATGATGAAAAGAAATACTAAACCATGATTCTCTTCTTAAAACTGTATTTTAAATACGCTGAAACCAGTGTAAAATGGCTGCTTTGTTAATTTTTTTCATCATGTTACTTTATTATTAAAATATTTTGAGGTATTAAAACTGTGCTCTAGAGAAATATAACTATAATATTTAAATGTTATTTAATAGCATCTCAGTAGAGTTTTTCAATGTCATCAATTCTCAGCGAATTTTAATCTCATTTCTCAAAAATCAGCTTGCTTTAATATGGCTGATTGACCACAAACCTATATTGATTGGCCTCAATAATTCCATCTCATCTCCTTTAATTCACCAAGCTTCATTCCTTTTTTTTTTTTTTGTGATTTTGCTCATTGCCAAGATCATATTGATAGGACTTCAGTAATCCAGATTATTTTTGTTCATTTTTTGTAAAGACTGATCCTGTGCTAGCCATTTTCTGTTCTTCTAGAGGTTACTTCAGTGTCATACTGACAATCAGTATTGCCATTCCAGAGAACTCCTTAGTAAGTTCTCTAAAAAAACCCTATGTGCAAGTTTTTCTGATCTCCTAACTAAAAAAAAAGTTCTGCTCTAGTACTTGTTGTGTTCAACTTTCATCTGAATTAGTTTTGAAATTGAAATACTGTCATTATCACTTAATATGTATCACCTGGTGGGATTTCTTTGAGGCACAAGACTCATTTTTCCTAAATCAAGATTCCACCATCAACTTTCCTTTTGCCTACATGAGAAATAATAGTTTCCACAGTGGGACCTTCTAAAAGAATTTATACACGTTACAAATGTAATTCTTGCTTTTATGGCTCCAGGAGATGTGTTTTCTTTGAACCTGCTTGACAAAGAGGAGTAGGAATTGCATATTTATTATTTGCAGTATATTCTGCATGCAAACAATTGTATCTGTGCTTATGGAAAATGGGTTTGTGGTTCCAGTTTCTGTGGGGTAAAATATAGCATAAAAACAGCAGTCTTTCCATTCTTAATCCTTTTGCTCCTTGTTTTAGCGTGTAGTAGCAGGTAAACCTTTGTTTTCCTCCTGTGTCACTGCCACTATGATTTATTTCTCCAGGTATACTCTATTTAGAAAGGAAACTTAGTTTTCAGCAAAGCCCTGATTTTTGCCCAGTTTAGTAGTTCCACAGGTCAGGTCACAAGAAGGTCAATAGACTGCTGGGGTTCATGCAGCCATTCAGTAGGTCAACGTATATTATAACAGAGAAACCTGATGACTTACCACTCTTTCTCCGTACTGTTAACCTAGTTGCACTACTGCCGTAATAGTTTTCCCTTTGTTTTTAAATCCAACTCACCTTAATCCAAGCAGAAAGTATCAGCGCAGCATGACAGTTCAGAAGTGGGAGCATGCAACTGAAAACTGCATCACAGCCCCTGATTTCCCAGGGGGCAAGACAAATGTGTTAAGAATTTTAAAGGCGGCTGCCCCAGCAAATGGAAGTGAGGGCTGTCGCTGGGTCGGTGCCTGTCAGTGCAGTCATGTGTCAAACCCACAGTGAGGAGCAGTTTGTCTTTTTCTCTAAGGCATGGGGTAGAGCAGGAGGTCACCCCCTCCGCTCTGTCATTCCTGGCTTCCTCGAGCCCTGTTTTCCCCGCCTGAAAGCTGGGAGGTAGGACACTGGCAGGGTTACTCATTTTACAAGCATTCTCATTTTTCTGATCAAAAGTGTAATGTAGGAAATTAATATCACAATCTGTAGTCTGTACTAATTCATTTGTGAAACTAGCATTTCTCCTGTATCTGATGTTTTGGACACAGTATTGTCATATTCAGTTGCTTTTAGGCTTTTGGGTTTTGCTTTGACAGGTACGTAAGATCCCTTATCTTCTTGGGACATTTGTTTCGGTCCAGTCCTATACTAACCTGTGTGCCCAGTGCAGCCGTCATTAACTGCAGTACTGCTGCTGACCGTTGTAACAATCTGCTTGAATAATTAGTACATTTAAACCCTGCTGAGGAGTTACTTTTTTTTCTGCAGTACTTCCTCATTCAGCTTTTGACATGTATCATAGCATCATAGAATCATAGAATCACAGAATCATTAAGGTTGGAAAAGACCTTTAAGATCATCAGGTCCAACCATCAACCCAGCACCACCATGCCCACTAAACGGTGTCCCAAAGTGCCATGTCTACACGTTTTTTGAACACTTCAGTGATGGTGACTCCACCACTTCCCTGGGCAGCCTGTTCCAATGCCTGACCATGTAACATGATCTTCCACGATGCCTCATGTTATTTTTGATTGAAGATGAGCAATCTCCTTTGCATCTCTTTGACCAAGAATGCATATATGTTAATGAGCATTTGAATATGTGCCACATACATTTAATGTTGAGAACGTAACATTTTTTCCAGGTGCAGCATGGAACACAGCTACATGCTGTGCAGCACCTGAGAAGATGTGAGGGAGGTTGGTTGTCATTTAATCCTGGTAAACAAATCTAAACCTCAAACTGAAATTGCGCCAAGCAACCTTCAACTTTGTCCCTTCAGCTTTTCTTGAGTTGTGACTGACTTACACAAATATCCATAGTCTTCACTTAGGGAGGCTGCAATTGCTTTTCAAAAGCTGCTAGATGAATGAAAACAATATATGCTTATTAAATCACCCTTATTGTATGTGCCAGAGGGCAAATGTGTGCATAGACTCTTCATGATCCTAGTGCTGCTAGAATAACAAGAAACATCATAAAGTTTGCTGAGAAAAACATGACTTGGAACCAGAGCTTCATTTACTTTTGTATTCTGCAAAAGAACTGGGTCCCTTCCTGGGTCCCTAGAAGTCAGTAGCAAAACCTCTGACATCATTTGGGAGCAGCAGCAGTGGTAGTTTGGTTTATGACTGATGATAAAGACGTTACCATCTACTATGTAGTACTACAGCAAAAGGCAATCCCAAACAAAGTGAAAAAGAGAAAGTCTAATTAGACTGGATTAGATGGGACATCTCAGATGAAGAGTCCCTCCCTCCATCAAGAATCTGCCATGCTTTATGCTGAAAAGGGATAGGGGAAGGCTAAAAGTGAAGGAGTGGAGGAAACAGTCCTAGAAGTGCAGAATTCCAGCTTCTCCAGTAGTAGGTGAGGAATAAAGCTTACAACAGACAAGCTGGCACAGTGCCAAAGAAACAGAATGTAGAAAGTTTTGTTAAGGGTTTTTATGAATAAAAAGATCCCTTTGTCCATTCCTTTCAAAAAATAATAGAAATGTAGCCAGAGAGATGCATTAAGATGGTGGTTTGTTTCTGTCTGCATCCTCTGAATTTTAAAGGCAGGATATTTAACAGGATCACAAGCAAGGAAATTGTTGTAGGTGTAGGAGGCCCAAGAGGTGATTAAGGAATAAAAAAGGTGAGATGGAGAAAACGAAGACAAATTCAGTAAATGTCTTGGCAGTTGCTGGTAGATTTACAAGCAGCAGATAAAAGAAGAAATGTGAAGTTTTACATAATAGGAGACTTGCTTGAAAGCTTAGACCTTGGAATTGTTTTCTTCTCAGATTTGCTTCACCTGGTTGCACAAAAGGCTGCTTTGTTGCTATGTGATATACTTAAGGACTCTGGAGTCAGCATTTTTGAGTTTGTTCAGCGGCAGACTGCAGGAGAACAAAGCATAGCTGTCTATTTTTGCTGAATAATACTACAGAAATTATTATATTATGTTGATAAAGCTTTACAGAAAGCTACCTGAAGAAGACTGGATGAACCAACCTTCAGCTGTGTCTTTTGATCTGATAAGTACCAGAACAATTATGTTGCCAAAGGATTTTATTCTAATAACAGCAGCAATGACAACAAGAAGGAGAGTATTTCTCCTTCATTTTGCTGGACTGACCCATGTGGGAATAAGTCACCTCCTGTTCTGTGTATAGACTGTCCTCTGAAGACCCAATAGTAGTTTTGAGTTATTGATAGTGGAAAATCATTCATAGGTGAGAGCAAACAAAAGAGCTGACTCCTTGGAGACCTCCCTTGCTCAGACCTCCATGCAGTCAAGTTTGGTTTGGAAATGGCAGGTTGGCAACTGCTCATCCAGCTTGGGTTTGGCTCTTGTCTAGAGATGGATGTCAACATTTCTTTCTTCTTGCCTTTTCTTCCTTCCTCACCTGTTCCCTTGGTAACTGTGGCAGGAAGGAACAGAGATCCCTGTTACTTGTTAAACTGTTTCTAACTGTAATAAATTTTTTCTAGTTAAGCCAATGGTAGCTTGTAGTTCTCTAAGCATCTTTGGTGCTACTGAGGAACTAAACAGGGCTGTCTGGGGCAGAAATTCAGTTTTGGCAAAGGTAGGGACTTTTAGAGATGATTTTATTCTTGCCACTGATCTGAGAAACAATGGTCTTAACACATGGCTGATTCAAACCGCTTACTTCCTAATAATCCATCTATCAAATAGATTTGCATTTGTGATGACATTTCTTCTATTTTCTTCTAGATGCAAAGAGTTTGGCTGAAATGCTTATGAGGTAAGAATAGATTTAATGTTTTTAAATTGAAAAACATCTGTCAACTACGGTATCATATTTAAAAATTATTATAGGGACAGAGAAGTAAACTTTCTATTTGTGAATGCTTTTTCAAAACACAGCATTTGACTGTTAAAAGCTAGGACACATTATTGGTTAGAAATGGAAGAAAAAGGACAATTTGTGGACAGTATCTGTGAGGGAATACAATGGTAAAAAAATGAGAACTCTTGTGTTAGTAGATTAAATTATAGAAGCTATGTAAGTCCGTTTGGACACTTTTCTTATCCAGAAAAACATTTTCATAATATGTACCAAAGTAATTGCTCTTCAGAAATCATCTCATTGAAGGCAGTAAGTGCCTGGATGCAAACATCTCTAAACTTTACAGTTATATTTATGTAATTCACTACTGCTAGCTGCTTATGCCCGAAGGTATGGAAGAGCAGGTAAATCCATTCTGTTCCATCAGCTCAGCGTCCAGAAATCTAATTCAGTTGTTGAATGGCAACAGAATGACTGTTCTGGCACCATAATTCTTTCAAAGATGGAAATTTCATATCTTCAATGTTTATTTTTTTGTCTGGGGAAGATATTGAACTTCAAAACTGCTGCACGTATTTGAAAATGCCATCACCAAAGGATTGATTTTAAGTTCAAATGAGTTTTGGTTGGCTAGAAAATCTTGTTTTTAAGCAACAAATTTGAGAATGTCATAGATATTTTACCACATGAGCCATACTCTAAACTTCCTCACCCGTGATAAACTTCACCTGCTATTGTAAGAATATACTTACCAAAGACAAAGTGACAGATGGTTTTAGTATGAACTCAACTCTACGCCTCAGTCTGCAAATACATCTGAATAGTCCCACCGATGTTAACAAGACTGGTCATGCAGGTCAGGTCATACCCTTCCTATCTGCCAGTTAGAAAGCCCTGCTAGCAGCAGATTGCAGGTTTAAGTAACTTCAGGAAGATATGCTCTGCTATTTTTCGGTGTCACAGAAAACAGCACAGATTAGTATATGCAGCGAGTTTGTTCCCTAAAGAAACCCCGCACGGACTGGCTGAAACTCCTGGATGAAGATATTGAGTCCCAGTGACAACCACACATAACAACTCTGCAACACTGACAAACCTCTGCCTTAACCCTGGTTAGCTTCACTAGTCTTTTCGCCACCTCTGTAAGGCCATTTCAGAGTCTCACTCCTCTGACACTTAGGAAACTGCCAACATAAGTGCCCAGTTTTAACCCATTTTTCTCTGCTGATGTCGACCTTCAAATTAAGGAGCTTCTTTTGCCTTCCCCACCTGATGCACACAGAGAGCAGTGAGCTCCCTTCCCAGCCTTTAGTTCAGAGCTATTTTTCTAGGTAACTCATTTGCCACCATTTCTTTTTGCTTTTCCTTTCACCAGCATTGAAATATGCCCATCAAGTCAGTTCCTCCCATCTCATTTATTAACAAATTATCTTGTTTTTATTAAATAGTCAGATTTTATATTTCTCTTCTGAAAGTGTGAACAAAAGCTAATTACTATTAAAACAGGACTTCAGAGGAAGTAGAGGATATAGGTCTACATTTGCAGATGTGTCATAACTTGGAGCTCTCAAAGTGATGCTGTTTTGGGGAGCCTGGTTTCTACAGGCTAAATGCTCTGTCATTTGTGATAAACCTGTGAAATACCTCCAAACGAAACCTGAGCTACCCACCAATCACTAGATGTTCCTGAAGATTTAGCATGTTAATAATCAAAGGATAATAAGCCTTATCCAAACCAATAGTCACGTATTATAAAGGTCCTGATATTTCACATCTTTTAGATTTCACCAAAATCTGCTATGATACAAATATCCAGAAAAAGGGTATGCTGTGGGTTATGCCTTTCTGTTTAAGTATTGGACAGAAAGCAGAAAAGATGATTCTCTGCTTGGTAGGAAGGTGTGAGGGATGGAAAGAGCTTTGTGTATTTTTCCCTTTGAGGAGATTTTTATGAGTGTGTGTAAAGCGGATTAAGGATAGAGCTTTAGTCTTTGCTTTGAAAGTCTCTGGCTTTGACTGTGTAAGTCAAATGTCTGGGGAGCAGGATAAGCCCCAGAAGTTAGCAGTTTAATGGGAGCTGCATAACTTGTTGCTGATACTTTAAACTCACAAATAAAAATCCCAATCACAACTTTCTTATGGTTCTTTTGGGTGAAAACATCGGTCCAGCCAACTTCTTTGTAACAGCTCACTGTGAATCAGTATAGCAATTGACTGAGCTTTCTAATTTTGAAGACACAGTGAGGAATCTTATCTCCCCAAATATTCCTCTGTCAGGCTGATTACTTACAAGATTTAGTTTTCCATATGTTTTTACAACCACCAGCTTAGACATGAGGACCCCGTGAAGTGGCCTGATTCTCTGCCAAGGACCCAGAATGACTTTGGGTTTACAGAGCACCATATTTAATCCCTTAACATAACTAGCTTGATAAGTTTAACCCTAACTGCTGTGCATAAAGATATTTTAGGGCACTCCAGAAAGATTACTTAGAAGGGGGTTGTCTTAACTATGCACAATCTTTCAAAATACCTTATACACTGTACTTCCTTTGGAAAAAGGCCCATTTATCCACAGACTGTACATAAAAGCTGTCTCAATCAGACCCAAAGGCCCATGTACCCAAGTATGTGTTTTTCATATTGGCCAAAAGCCAAGGGGCCTTGGTAGAGTAAAAGACTACAGCAAACACATACTGAACTCGTTCCCCAGACAGGCTCCCAGTCTCTAACGATTTGGAGCTCAGAGATTCATTGAACCAGAGGGAACGAATTGTAGTATACACAGATCCTTACAAGGTCTGACAAGTAAAGTATAGCCATAGCACATGTTTAAGTTTGGGAATTTTGTATCTGTAGGTTAAGGAAAATATAGGTAGATAAGTTTCCTCCCTTTAGAGAATTAATCATTGGTTGACTCATCCACCAGACTGTTATCATACTTGGATTCCTGAATTTTCTTAGGTTAGAAAATCCTTGAGCACCAAACTTCAAAATTGCAATCCTAAAAATCTCTGCCTCACTGCCAAGTCCTAGAAGCACCTAATTGCTGTTGGCAATTCGGTTTTTATAACCTGAAAACTATTGTGGTCTGCAGAAAATAATTCAAAATTCCTTGAGCCAGAAAGAGATAGCATGCTAATCAGCAGCAGCCCTCTCGCTGCTGCCAGTTGCCTGTTCTGTGTTCGGACACTCCATGTCACCGTGCTGCTGCATACAGGAGCATTAATTAGACTGATAAGGAGGAGGAGAGTGATCACACAAAACGAGGAGTAACTCTTGAGTATAGTAGGGAATTTTCATGAATACAGAGAGGCCTGGGTTCCAGTTCTGGCTTGAAGGACCTTCCACATATTTTGCATAGAGCTACCCCTGGAGCCAAGAATGGGATTCGGAATTCTCTCTTGGCAGGTGAGCAATATAACTGCAAACCTGGGGAACTGTCCTGCTCCCCGTGGTCTGAACAGTGCTTTCAGCGTGGCTGAGTTCTTTGCAATAGTAGGAGTACAGAGCATTTGCACTGCAGAAGAGCTTCCAGTTCTCACTGGGATTCTGGGGTCTGCATTCTCTGAGGAAGATGTCTGATTTGATCCCTTTGTCTCCTGCATCCCTGGTGAGTGGAGGAGGGGTGCAACGATGCGTTTATTAGACCCAATTGTGTATTGCACAGATTCCATATGTATCTGATTGCACGTATCCTATAACTATTGGATTGTTGATTATTAAATTGAAATTGGACCTCAGAAATTCAGTTTCCTACTTGACCACAGGTTTGCTCTACGATCTTGGACAAGTCCAAAGTAGTCTGACTTTTCAAGGGCGTGTATTCAAGCATGTTTGGCATGCTGATAATCTCTGATTCTTTTAACATTTCAGCAACTTGAGTGGAAACCAATAGGAGAGTGGCATCTAATCCATGCAGAGACTTTGCAGAAACTTTGAGAACGTTAGTGCGGGATTTATCTGCATTTTAGGATCCTAAATGTCTTTGAAAATTTATGTGTTTAATAAGACGCCGTGACTACTATTCTCCACTGATTATTTATGGAGAAAAGTCTGGCAGCCCTTGGGTAGCTCTCTTGATATTTTGCTTCCATAACGATTAAATGAGGCACCAGCTGTAGACTGTTTGAATGCATTTCAGCTATCCATCTGTACATGATGGCCACAGTACCACCTAACCACCCAGATAAAGACAGGCGTTACAGTTTGAGGGGCATATATAGTGTGAATGCTGGGCACCACGAGAACAGGGAATGCCAGAAGGTGAGAATCAGCCAGAGAGGGGTACCTGTGTGCCTTGCGGATCTCACTCTCGGATTCGGAGCAGAATTACTTGACCAGATGACAAGGAAATTCCTCTTAAAAAGGACTCTAGGAGAACCTCCAAACCTGCAGTAGTTAGGTCTTGCTCACATGGAGACTCAGCAGGAGGTTAAGGCAAATTGCCTAGAGAGGTGGGCCATCACACATGCATTAATCTCCTATGTAGAGGTCTGCACTCAGGGAAGAAGTGAGCTTATCGTCAGGCAGCTTAACAGCCCTCTGCTGATTCCATTAACAACAGTAATTCATTGCCAAAGGAGAATTAAACTGAGTGATCTACAGCTATTTTACACTAGAAAATGAGCCTCCACTTGAATTTTGAAAGTCTTCGAAATGTGAGCACTTGGGTCACACTACTGGCTGATTTGCCTTAACTTTGCTCAGCCTCGCTGCATAAAGAAGTATTTGCAAATATTTCCTCTCCTCCAAAGAGCAATTACACCTAAAAGGGCAAAAAGTTCCCTGGTTTTTAGTGCAGTCTGAAGGTGTCTTGGTGCAAGCTCTGTACTAGAAGTGATTGTAGCACTCAGTTTTACTGTCCATTTTAATTTGCTTTCAGTAGACAGTTCATTTAAGAAGTAATTTTCCAGTACACAAACTTCAAAATGAAATTGTTTCAATTTACATGATGATAGAGTAATTGTTTTATGTTCTTTTGTAGAATATTGCATCAATCAATTAGAAATAATCCATGAATGTAAACAATATTTGCAATTTTAGTCTTGGAACATCAACGGGACTAAAACCTGTATTTAGTTTATGCAATTTATTAATGGAATCCCTAGTTATTAATTTGCTTTGTCATTTATCAATTCCAGTGATATTTGGAATTTATCTAATGAAAAATGATTAAAAGTTAAAAAATAATTATAAATTACTCAAGACATCATTTTCCTACCAACCTGTTTATTCAGCTGTGTGTTTCTTCACTCATATTCATGAGGAATGAAAGAAAAGCTCCATCTTGCAAAGCATTTTTACTAATTTCATTATCTGACAATACTTGAAGAAAATTACATGAAATTTTCAGGAGATCCCTACTGATAAAGAATAGACCAAATACCTCAACACTGTGCATTCATCTAACTGCTTGTCATGTGCAAAACATTAATACTATGTACTTGTTCTGAAGGGGGGAAAATAAGATGTATGAGTATTTTGTTGATTATGATTATATTAATTATTGTTTGAGCTGGACAGATTTAAAATTAGAAAGTTTGCAAGTATCTTTTCATTTAGGCTGAGTGTTAATGTGTTCACTTCTCTTTTGTTTTTAGCAAGAACACCAGGACATCAGATACACTTAATAAGCAGCAGCAAACACTGAGGATGCACATAGACATTCCCAGAGCACAGCTTCTGATTGAGGAGAGGGACACGATGGAGACCATTGGTAAACTCTTGTTGGGCTTGTTTTCACTGGTTAATGTAACAGGCACTTTAAGTGGACTTTGTTCACCCCACACCTTTTCCCCATTGCACACATAAAGAAAAAAGAGCTACAAAGTAATTTTCCATGTTTGAAAACTGAACTGATTTCTTTTTCTCCCTTTTGAATAATTTTCCAGTTTAAGTAATCTCAGTACGGTATTCAAAATAATGCAGGACAATAGGAAAATGGAGCTGGGAGAAAGAACTGCTTGAAGAAAATGTAAATGAAGGCTGGCAGTTTTATGATTTTCATTTTGATTTCTCTTTTGGCTTTGACTAGACAGTTGGATCACTGGCATTACTTATAAGGAAAATGAAATTCTGAAAGTACAATATCAGTATTTAAAGTTTTGTGACAGACGACTTCTAAAACTTACATGTTGCATATTGTATCCACCTGTTCATAGCAAATGATACTGCAACATTTTGATCAGTTTTCAGCTTTTGTACATCTATGCAAAATTAAAATCTGAACTGTTTCACACAACAAAAAACAAGATTTCTCACGTGGCTGGCACATAGCTGAACTGTCGTGAAAAACAGAATTGTCTGGTGTTGGGTTTTGGGTTTTTTTTCCCCAAATAATTGAAACACAAGATGTCTGAAATCTCAACAGAATAAAAACACAACCTGATCTCATGACTGTATGGGTACACACTGTGGCAAGACCCTCCAGAATGACTGATCTCGTCAGACTTTTAACTTTTTTGGCTCAAAACCTGCGTAGAGGAAGCCTGTGATGGCTGAGAACGTAACAGCATCCCAGGGGTGGTGTGGCTGGAGAGGAAAGTTCCGCAAGCTGGGAGCAGCATCTCTGCACCTCCTGTCCATGCCCGCACTGGGGAGGGACAAGCCACTCCAGCCCCCCACGCGGTCACACTTGCTGTCAGTCTGGCACGGAGGGGGTGGCCTCAGAGGACATTTCGCAGTTTGCGCTGCAGATTTGAAAAGGAGACCTATGCTTCACCTGAAATACAGACTTTTTTTGATCCTGATTTGATTTTCCCAAAGTTTGCCTCGGTGATGCAGTCTTTTGTGCCAGGCTTCATCCTAATGACAGTTTTTACTTTTGGGTCACAGTTGCTGAGCAATGGGGGGTTACAGTGGAAATACTATTAGTGCCTTCGCTGTAGCAATGCGATCAGTGCCTCGGTAACAGCCAGCTCTCCATGAGGCACTCAGAACAAGCAGGCACTCTGGCTGTCTTCGGCAGAGTTCACTGCCAAGAGGCTTTATTTCCAACCTGAGTAAGAGCCCATCTTTTGCCAGAGACAGAGTGATTTGATTTCATAATTCTTATTCTATTTATGGCCTTCTTTGGGTAAAAAATGCTAGTTATGTTATTGTGCAGAACTGCTTGCCTTAATGGTGTCTTGTCAAGTTAAAAAAAAAAAAAAAGACAAAAAAAAACCAAAACAGGAATGCTTAGAAGCAGCAGATCAGCCTCTGCTGACTAGTAAATGCACAGAAGCCCCACTGCTGCCAGTGCTCTTAGAAATACATTACAAAGCTATATAACATAGCATGTCAGGAACTTCTTGTGGCTGTTGTTACTGTTAGGAATGGATGAAAACCCTGTAAAGAATGCAAAAGAAAGTCTGATAGCATGCAAATAAATGGACCAGATTCCTCTTTGGAGTGAAATAAATACAATACAGAGATCACAACTGAAACATGCTGTATTGCACTGGCTTTCTGTAGGGATCGATGTCTGTGCAGAAATTTGGTGCGTGTACCCTACCCCATAGGGAAGCAATAGGCAGCAGAGCCACGCAGCAGTAAAGGTCAGTGCACACCGTTTTTTCCCAGTCCTTCCCAAGGTCAGGCTTCACCTCGCACCTTTCTGTACAGCTGCAGGAAAGCCCATAGTCAGCTGGACTGTCTTGGGAGAAACTTACAGGACTCACATAAAGCTCCCCAAAGCTTCTGTTTCAAACCTACAGCAGTGAGGTTTGATGCGGCGAGAGCTGGTAGGACTTGGCCCCTAGCTTCCAGAACAGCAAACCACTGGACTTGGGGATGCCTAGCTGCCCTGCAAGTGTATTTCCATTGCCGTCACGATGATATTCACATGCTTAAAAATAAGCAGCTCCCTAAAGAACAGTCTTGAGTCATGGCCATGCCTTCTAGAATATTCCGCCTCTAAAGAAAAAGCTGACTGGTAGAGGGTTAGTCAGCAACGTTACCTAACGACCTCCTTTTGGGAAGACATGGGTGATTTCACTGAGGATGTTACTGATTATGTTAATAAAAAGAAATAAATTGAATACGTTGTTGAAAAGGTCAGCTGAGCTCTCTGAAAGTGAAGAGGGCAGTGTTCAAAAGGCGGGAAAGAAAGAAATTAGGGACAAAAATAATTACACACAAATTAGCTTTTTGGAAGGATGCTTAGGAGTCTGGCTTAGTTGTACATCTCTAAGAAGAAATCATAAAGACAGACATGAAAATTACACTTATTCTTTAGTTTTTTAAACTTTGAGTTTAAACCTAGAGGCTCCCAAGCTGTGGTACACTCCTCAGAGCCATCTTCAGCCCCGCAGAGAAGAGGGAGCTGCTACTGTCAGTGGTGGCACACAGCTGCAAATAAGTCTGGGGACTGGCTGTACAGCTCTTATGAAGGAAAACCCAAAATTCATTACTCAGTATCTGATTTTTTTTTCACTTACAGATGACAGATCAACAGTTTTGCTCACTGATGCCGACTTTGGAGAGACGTCTAAGCAGAAGTCACTGACTGTCACCCACACAGTGCATTACCAGTCTGTGTCACAAGCTACAGGACCACTGGTGGATGTTTCTGATGCCCGGCCAGGAACAAGTAAGCATATAAGAGAATATATTATCTGGAGAGGAGAAAGCTATAAGAAAATGAATACTCTGCTCCCGCATTTGCATCCTCATGGGATTTTTTCTTCAATCTGAAGGTTGAGAGAAATCTATTTAGGTCAGCAGAGAACATTTCTTATACAATTGCATTTAGTGATTCAATATGGTAAAAATTGCATATGCATCTGAAATGTAGGTGTAATTTGAAATAATTCATACCTGGCTTTCATTAAACCAAATGCATGCTAGATATTAATTTCTAGAATTTATTGAGTAAATTACCTTAATGGCTTTTAATGTTTAATATATTTTTTTCTCGGTGATCAATCTTTATTGTATTTCAAAATATATCTTCCCTCCTTACCTCTCCATCAGGCCAGAAATACATTTCTCATTATTGCTTTTCTGAAAAAGTTGTATTTCCAGTTTTAGTTATTATGGTAAATTACTTTTCCCAGATATATTCATGTTGAGTTGTTCTTACAGTGATTAAGATACTGTCGTAAATTAATATACCGCTGCAATCCATTCTTCTTAATTTCTCTCATGAATGTGTTCCATATCTATGTAAATGGAAAAGAAAATCACTAGATCGAAGGAGTACTTCTGAATTAGGAATATTATCAAAGTGTAGTTCACTAGCAGTGTGCAATTTCTAAAATCTCTTGGATTATTTCTATCCCCTGATCGCTTCAGAATTTGTTTACTTGCTGAGTTTGGTGAACATAAATGCTGAAAGCTCAGTTGTGCATCACCTAAAATGCAGACTATTTGAAAAATCTTCATTTCCACCCCAGCCTTTATAAATGACAGCTGTTCTAGTCCTGACCTTGCTGCTTTTCTAACTCTGACAGTGTTAATCTATGGCTAGTTATTTCTTGAGGACTAGATTGGTACCACCATTTTTCATCTGTGGGGAGTCATGACATTTGAATTAAAAGAGTCAAGATACAACATTTGTTTTCTTTCTAGTACCGCTCTTGTCTCACTCAGTTCATTTACATGCTGGCTGGCCTGCTCACCAAGAGCAAAAAATATAACATTTTTGTCATGTTGGCAGATCAAGATCATTTGAGTGAACAACGGACTCTCCATTGTTTTCCAACCCGGCCTTTTTTAATAAGGAAAGAGGCACCACCCCCAAATTGCCTGCCTGTACCACACCACAGCATTTTATAGCACCAGCATCTTCCATTCCTAATCTCCTTTTTTGTGTGCAGTCACATGCTTCAGTCCACGGAAGTCAGGGAGGGACCTCCCTCAGATTAAACAGGAGCTTAACTCAGTGTGAGAGTATGGTCTGTGTCCAGCCCCGCTTTGGAAATAGAAATCCACCATGGGTTTCATTATGCAGTAAAGATCTGATTGCAGCAGTGCTCAGGGCTTGGTCAGAGACTTCTAGGTTGTGTTCCCTGGATTTGAGGCACTGATATAGAGGCGAGGCTATGAGATTTTGTTTAGACCCACAGCTTTCTGTCTGAAGAGGGGTGCAGTGCCCAGCTGGGTGGCTCAGAGGTTATGGATCCTCCCACCTGAGCACACTCAACAATTGGCAAATATTCCCTTACAGCCCTTTTTAAGTTGTTCGCTGGTTCTTTTGTATTTATTCATAAAAGAGGTATGCTCCATGAACCTTTGCCTTGCTCACCTCAGCTCTCTACAGTTATGTTTCAGCATATGACAGCAGAGCTGGCTTAACAACCGGGGCCCCAGATGTTTTCCATCACACCGGCAGCTCGGGAGCTCGCGGTGTCTGTGCTAGAGAGACCCTTTTGCAGGCTCAGCGCAGAGCTACTGCTCAGCATGTGCTCAGCAGGACGAGCACTGGCCTCCTGTGTGCTGGCAGCAAGCTCTCCCGCCGCCTTCGAATTGCCGACGAGAGCCTACGGAGTCACGGGGCCAGAGGACAGTTGAGGTTGGAAAGGACCTCTGGGCCCTGGCTAGTGCAACCCCTCTGCTTAAAGCAAGGTCAGTTAGAGCCTGTTGGCCAGGACCATACCCAGACAACTTTTTAATATCTCCGAGGATGGACATTCCACCACCTCTCTGGGCAACCTGTGCCAGTGGCTTGTCACCCTCACAATAAAGTGTTTCCTGATGTTCAGAGGGAAGCTCCCATGTTTCCCCTTGTGCCAATTGCTTCTGGTCCTGTCACTGAGCACCACCAAAGAGAGCCTGGCTCTGTCCTCTTTGCACCTTCCCTTCAGGTATTTTTATACATTGATGAGATCCCCCCAATCCTTCTCTTCTCCAGACCAAGCAGCTCCACCACTGTGCCGAGAGTGTTCCCACCAGCTCTCTCCTGTCCTTCATGTCTTCCCTCGAAGCAGGCATGAGGCTCACTTCTGGCCATGCGCCAGCCACATGCCAACTTTCCACAGCTGGTACAAGCGGTGACTTACACTGACAGGCTGGTCATGTCATGTCAAGTGCGGTTTTGGATGTTACACATGTGAGACGGCTATGTGTTGCACGATCACGAGAATCAGTTATGAATGGCACTGGGTTCATATTTTTCCACTGCTGTAGGGGGGAGATGTGAAGTAGGAGAAGGATCAGACCACAGCTGTTATTTGTAAATAAATACCTTGTTTCTTTGAAGCAGCAGAATACAAATTCTTACAGGGAATGCTTAGGCAGAGGCAATGCTCAGAGTCATTATCTGGGTATTGTTTTCTTTTTTAAATGGCTTCTGCTAAAGTCTCTTACCTCAAAGACTGACAACTTCACCATTTGAATGTCAAAGAACATTTGAATAGATTTGAATTTTTCATTTCTAATACCCTGTCTCTCTATTCTTAGTAATATCCTTTCAGAAGCTTTGAAGAGAAATCCTTCAGTGCTGATTTAGTCACTTTCTGTTTGCAAGATAATGATTTTTCTATTCTACTTGTTTTGTTAGGGAGTACAAGCCTCACTTTTACAGAAGAACTATTTATTAACAAAAGGAAGGAGGTCAATTTTGGCAGATAGTTTGCTTTTACTCCCTTGGTCAGCATATTATCTCTAGGATAATAAAAAAATAAAACACTGTTGACCTTAAAGAAGTAGCAGATGATTTTTAAAGTTTAAGAAATGGTGTTTATTTACTAATTTTTTAAAAACAGATAAATTTTTATGAACCTCTTCCTCCTGAAACTGTGACGGCACTGTTACAGGTTATGTTTTATGTCTTGGCTACTTATTAAAAAATAGGGAATCTGTAGTTGATTAATATCATAATATAGTTAAAGTATTAGTAAAATATCCAGAATAGGAAATTATATCACCACATTTCTGAGCACATTTTTTTACAAACGGAGGGCAGGTACCTGGTGTAGGGTGATTCTGAGGGCACACCTACGCTGTTAATTTACCTTAGCCTTCACTTGAGACATGGTGTGAAATCCCCGACCAGATCTACTTGCCTTGTGCTCTTTCACATCTCAAAGTGATTTTGGTACTGGAGAACTGCTTATGTTGGAGTAAAGGGATAATGGGTGTGTCAATGGGAGGTTGGTGGGGCGCTCAACTCCTCAGTTGCACCCTTGTAAAAATGTATGGTTTCATTAGAGAGTGTTTCAAAAAAGCGTTAGCAGTTTGGTCATGAACAGCACTTCCGCTGTTCTTTCTTCTTCCACGAATAATGTTTTGTGGGATTTTTTAACCAACAGGATTTCATTGGCCATCCCCTTCTGACCGGGCTTGTTTGTCACCTTATCAATTCAAGAGTCTAGTGGCAAATACCCTCTCTGTTATCCACCACAGATCCAACCACAAGGAGGAGTGCCAAAACCGGACCCACAGCTCGCAACCGCTACGCTAGTCAGTGGACCCTCAACAGACCTCACCCCACCATATCAGCTCATACCCTCACCACAGACTGGAGGCTGCCCACTCCCAGGCCAGCAGGATCAGTGGACAAGGAAAGCGACAGCTACAGCGTCAGCCCCTCGCAGGACACGGGTACGGGGTGCTCTGCAGGGCTGCGCTGGAAAAACTGGACAGCAGTAGCTGCAGTAACCTTCTTGGTCCTTGATTTACTTCATTTGGTGCTTAGGTGTCATTTTTTGTCCTTGCTAGGGTGTAGGCTATTTATAAGGGGTGCCACAAGTGCATATAGCACTGGCGATAACAGATGTTGTGCCCGTGGTTTCTCATGCCACACACATGCATACTGGAGTCCTTTGAAACATGTGGTGGTAATTTCCCCTGTAGCAGAAGCACTGTACTTCCTGTATCTGAAGGAAAAAGTAGGATAACTTGCTGCATGAAATGGCATTGACCAGGAAGGGGCAGTGTTAGCAACCAAGAATATGCCTGAGTCATAGGTGGAATGGTTTTAGGGTTTGAGCTACACTGAGGCTATTATTTTCCTTTTCCCATTCATGTAATATGTTTATAGGATTTATTCTAAGTGGAAAAAATGAGACGGAAAAATCTGGGATTAGAGTCCAAGTCAAAATCCATTCATATCACTGAATACTGCAGCAGCTAGCTCCGTTTTTCCTGAGAAATAGCATTAAGTTTTATTCCTCTAGATGGTAAGTGGGGAGACACTGAATACATATTCTGCCCCCAGTCTTCATCTCTCCTTGACGTCTTCACATTATAAATGCAATTGTAACTGAAAGGAAAAGATTTGTCCTCTGCCCTACACTGAACAAGTGACAAAAAAAGGCAAATAAATGAGTAAATGATTAAGCAGAATTGTCACGAAGCAAATCTAATAAAGGTTAAATACGAAGAAAGTTAAAATATTATTCAAAGGTATGCCTGACAGAAGTGAATCCAGGCTGACTCTGGCGTCCTCAGAAGGAACTGCCTATCTGCTATCCTGATTTTAGAGGAAAAGTGTCATGTGCAAAAAGAGCTACAAAGCAGTAGGTGTGACTGGCCTTTCACCGTGAAAACCAGTATGACTGTTTTTATTCTTTCTATAAGAACAAACATATGACTTCCCTTATATCCAGCAATTTATAGGTTGGAGTTCTCATCTTTTCACAATTCGTCCTCTTAAACTTTCAGACCCCTATGTTGTCTCCATAGGGTTACAGCACTCAATAGATACCTCTAGCCAGCTGACAAACTTCATCCTGACGTCTTCAGGTAGAATTACCATAAGGCTTTAAGGATTAACTCTCATAGCTATACAGATAAAAATATAAATAGCAAATGTTATCTCAGAAACCCTTTTTGCAGACATTCCAGATTTCAGGTGCACTTGCCCGTGTTCCAACACTTTGTCACCAAAAAATATTTTCCAATGCACATGGGCAGAGAATTCAATTTGCTGTGTAGTTTAATAGAAAAACTACATGCAATTTTGTAAACAGACTTCATAATTTATGTTTTAACATGGCTACTTCCATACTCTGTGTCTACCTTTGAACACAGAGTGATTTATGTAAGGGATAGAAAGCTTTAGATCATGCTCAAGAAAGATTTTCTTATGCCAAAATGTAGCTCTATTATGCCACTTGGTTTCTTGGAAAAGAACAGTCAGATTAATCTAGGTACTTCAGAAGTTTAAAATTTCTAAATAAACATTATAATAGATGTAGCCAAATTACGTGTTCAAGAATCAATTGAACTAATGTGCACATTTGATCACTTTTCCAACATGGAGTTCAGATTTCTGAATCTAGTTAATATTTCACAGAATTTAGGACTTCTTATCAAAACAATTCCAGGTTTACAAAGCATTAGCTTTCAAACTTAGCAGAAATGTATTGCAGCAGTTCAGAGCTGTAACTAAGTCAAATGTTCGAACTAGAGGCCATTAGAAATTTTCTGATGAATCTAGGTTTCATGAAGTTCACCTTTGTCTTGGATGAACTTTCAGCAAATCTAAAATAGGTGTTCAAGCAGATTCTTCCTGGAATAGTCTCCCCAGGGCATGGGATATGGAAAGCTGGAGGTCCCGAGCTTCAGGGACTAAACCGGGACCTTTGCATGACCATCATATTTACAAACACAGCTCTATGGCACGGGGCAACTGCAGCCTTCCAGGAGTTTCCAGTTGATCAGAAATTTGGGAAGATGTTATTTTCGTCTGAATCAAATGTGGAAAATAGAATGATGTTTCCTGTGGGGGCAAAAAAAAAAAAGCCTTGTTTATGTTCTGGCCAGCTCAAAATCTCAAACAAGTTACAGCATATTTTAGAAGTAGTTGTCATATTAAATAATGCGTGGTCCTATTTACAAGTGGCAGGAGTGTTGTTCTTTGTGCACAATGAAAACTGATGCAAGACCCTAACACACAATAAAAAAGACAAAGATTTGCAATAACAACACAGTTGCCTCTGGCTGCTGTAGGAGTCCCATTTTTATGAATTAGCTTTTACATTGTGCCTGTTTATTGAACACCACCACCAATGTCTGAAATTGTACAGATCTTGTGATGAAACACGACTTCTGCCCAAGGAACTTTTGAAAGTCCTTTGCTCTTCCAGCCCACTGAAATAGGAGTGCGATGGGTGCAACAGACCAGTGATGTGTCCCCACAGAAATGAGCACTGCATTTCCAGAATGCTTTTTAATGTATCAGTAGCCATTTACACCTTCAATAATAGTGCTTGTTTAAGAAATATTGATGTTCTCAGAAACGCAGCAGCAGAAAAGAACAGGCAGTAGCTCATAATATCCTCTGTGTCAAATATGAAGCCCCCATTAGCTTCAGCAGCCTTGAAAAAAGCACCTGAATGACTGCAGGCTGGTAGCTACTAAACGATATTGCTTTCTTAAGGCCTTTGTTCCATATGAAATGAGTTAATATTTTGCCTGGTGTCTAGAGAGAGAATGCCTGAGAGACATTGCCTTTATATTTGACCTTTGTCCTCAGGGCTTTCTCAAAAAAAAGATATAAGATTGAAACAGGTACAGAAAGACTATCCTTTCTCGCCTAGACATCACCTCACAGAAATACTTCTGAGATGCATTAAAAAGATAATGTAAAGAAGCTGTTTCTCATTTTGCTAGATCTTTTGGTGGGGGGGTTGTGGGTTTCTAGGATTTTTAAGGCATTTAACTTTTAGAGAGACTATTTTTTGTAAAAAAGAAGTAACCTTTTTCATGTATTAAAGGTTATTTCTTCTAAACCATTAATTTAATGCTAAGCCACAATTCTTCTAGCAGAATAAGAATTCACTTTAGATTATCTGTAAATATCAAGTAACAGACTAAACTAAAAATTGTGCAGACATTTATAGTGAAGCAGACTCGTTTAAATCACGTTGATAATTTCAAGGACTCTACATTTTATTAAGAAATACTATCATGTTCATAGCTTTGCTTCCAAAAAGATTTGGGCAGATGTTTTCTTTCTCCCATTATTATGTTTCTGATGTTTAGATCGAGCACGAAGCAGCATGGTCTCCACAGAAAGTGCCTCCTCAACGTACGAAGAGCTAGCGAGAGCATATGAGCATGCAAAAATGGAAGAGCAGCTGAGACATGCCAAGTTCACCATTACCGAATGCTTCATATCAGACACCTCGTCGGAGCAGCTCACGGCAGGGACTAATGACTACACAGACAGTCTGACCTCAAGCACGCCGTCAGAGTCGGGGATTTGCAGGTTTACCGCATCCCCCCCCAAACCTCAGGATGGAGGGCGCGTGATGAACATGGCAGTTCCAAAGGCACATCGGCCAGGTGAGACATTAGAGGTGACATTTTGGTCCTTGAGGTGAGCGCTTCACCCCATGCATAGGCTAGTTAACAGGAGAGGGCATATCGCAGGGAAGGAAGAAGGTGCTCAGAATATCCTGTAACTACTTGCAGAGATAATTGCTTTTTAACCCAGCTAATATAGTATTTGAGTATATTCTCCCGTATATGGAAAAATTAGGGACTTGGAAACCCAGGAACAGAAAGGGACCATCTAGGCCATCAAATCCATTCCTCTACAGCTGCAGCCATCAGGCAATAGACCCTTCTGGGGTAAATAAGACCATATGGGGGTACATATGCCCATCTCCAACTTAAACCACTTGCAAAACATGTCTTAGAGCAATACTTTGTGCTTGAGAGCAAAGGCTTGCCATCAGAACAGTTCATAAGGACAGATTATAGAAGATGTACTATCCCTTCTGCCTTGTATCTTGTCAAAGATGTAATAACCCTTTGGTGATGTTCTTGAGCTGTTACACTCTCTCTTTGACATCTCCTAATATCAAACTGGGATTATCTAAAGGGGGGAGAATTAAAAAAAGGAAAAAATGAAGACTGTACAATAGCTCAAGGGATATGGAGCCTTCTACCTTCAGAAAAATTTAAACCCACTCCAACTTCTTACTTACTGAAGGTGCCTGAGGGACATCCATCTATTGGCCTCAGTCAAATTTCCAGTTCCCAAAGAGTGCTGTTTCTGGTGATACCACAGTGCACAATAGCATAGGTAGATTATTTGTGGCAGTCTGAGATCACACATGTTATAAAACCTGCTCAGAAGATTTGGCAGTCTTTGTTACAGAATACATGATGTGACATCATGGGAGAGGATTCAAACGAAGAAAAGGCATAATTACGTTGGTGTGCTTTCTGAAACTATGATTATTATTTTTTTTACTTTATCTTTATTTAGTATATACAATTGCCAGTGTTGGTGGGGCTACATACACAGAAAGTAATCAGAAATGCTCATATATGTAAAAAGAGTAATGAATAAGCTATGGTCTTTTGCTTAATATACACCATAAATGTAAAAGCTGTTGTGAGGACAGAAGAATGGAAGATAGACAGTGGTATCAGGAAGGTCATTCAGAAGCAGAACCTGACACTGAAAAGAAAGCATAAAGGATTTTGCTGGAGAAAGCTAAAAGAAGAACATGAGAAGAAAAAGACCCAGCGGAAGGTAGAAAGTTATAATACACAACACAGGAAATTAGTGTATTGTACAGATAGATAAGAGGAAAAATAAGTAGGAAATAAAATACTGAGAGAAATTACTGACTTCTACAGAGTAGAACCACAAACCCAGGAGCTGTAGAAAGATACAAAGATAGAAATAATTTTCATCTGTAACTCAAAAAAGTAAGATAAATATTTATCCCTGCTCTGCTAAAGGGAAGCATCTGCATTCACAGCTAAGTCAAAATTGCAGCCCTCTCCTTCCAGTAAGTCAACAAACATTTTTTATCATTTCTTTAACAAATAACTTACTCTCTTCCTTTCATGTTCCAAATACATTATTTATGCATATTTAGTATTTGGAAATATTCTAATATATTCCATATAAAGATGATTTTCTTGAGGGTGTACAGCACCAAAATATGGTCACTGTGCTTGAGTTAAAAGCTTCTGGGGTTCGAACATCATCAGAGCCCCCCTAGTGAATTACAGACTTGTAGCCATATTTATCTCCATTAGTTTAAATGGCTTGAATTTTTAACTTTTCTTGATTAGCTTTAGCTTTCCTTTAGAGTATGGAAATTAAATATAGTATTGAATTAATAATTATCTTCAATACCTTGAAAAAAATTGAATGTTCCAGTGGAGCAACTTGAATGTTGGCCCATAAATATCGAATGGTATGTTATTAAAGGTTACTTTATGAAGGGCTTTAAACAAAAGAATCAGATAGAAAGAATTTTCAGTAGTAGCTGACAGACCAATATTTTTAGTGTTCAAATCAGTGAGGAAAGACTTACTGAGCATCCTTCTTCTCTCACCACATCAGAAATTCTGTGGAAGTAATTAATAATTCAAATACAATGAATCAATTAATTTTACATTTGGGAATATGGAGAATAAATAAAGACGTTAAGGTATTCAGATTAAGTAGATGAGAACATCTAAGATGAAACACTGACTGTGCTTCTTTAGAACATCTTTATTCTTCCTTGAAGTCAGTCTTTTCTTTCAAGATAACTTTTACCTGTTTTCATGATGTTTTGCTTTTCTCCCCCACTTGATCTCTTTCTTGTACATCACTTTCAGCAACTAAACCATCTGCTTTATCCAACAGGCAGCGTTTGAGACCTCAGGTTGCTCCAAACTGAGATAGTTAATGATTAGGAGTAGGGAGCCTGAATGTTTTTTTATTAGAGGAAAAGGGATGATCAAGATTCAATGACATGTATTCTGGGGCCTGACATCAACGCGCTGTGACATTCCCAGCTTCCATACCATTTTCATTCAGAAATTGAATCAAAACATTTGTTCCCCCTATCAGCTTGAATTGTATTTGGATGGCTCATCAGATGTCTAGGCAAGCTTAGTAATTGATCATTTTTAGCATGATAAGTATGAATTAGGACTGCCTTTTCAGAACTTCTACACATTACGTACAACTCTAACTCTGTAATTAGTAATGTGTAGTAGTTGATTGCCTCATATTCTAGCCCACTGTAAGTCTTCTAACAGACCCTTTTCCTTTTAGTCTGCTGGTGCTGCAGAACTGCAGAACTGCTTCTGACTTCTGGATTTCTACACCTTTTTCCTGATATTTAATTTCCAGAAACAAGAATCAGTTTCATGAATTCAGCCCAGGCATGGGACCTAAAAATGCAAGGATTTTGCCATGAAACAATAATGATAATTTTATAAAGAAAAATAGAGCAATCATACCTAATGTCACAATAAATTGTAAATAAGGAAAAAAAAAGTTATTTTGGCATAATGAAACTGAGACATGCACCGGGACTTCAGAATGATCTGGATATTTGCCATGATTATTCTTTTATAATTCAGACCGCCAAATGTATTGCACTGTAATACACATCTCTACATTCCAGCTGAAGTTATTGCATCACAGAATCACAGAACGGTCGAGGTTGCAAGGGACCTCTGGAGATCATCTAGTCTAACCCCCTACTCAAGCAGGGCCACCTATGATAGGTTGTCCAGGACCATGTCCAGTTGGGTTTTGAGTATCTCCAAGGGTGGAATCCACAGTCTCTCTCAGCCTTTTCCATGTCCTGTGTTACTACCTTCCCTGTTCCATTCAGCAGCAGGTCCACATTTTCCCCAGCCTGCCTTTTGTCACCTATATTCTTATAGAAGTCTTTCTTCTTGTCTTTGACATCCATGGCCAGATTCAACTCCAGCTGGGCTTTGACTTTCCTAACCACATTTCAACATACTTAGACGGTGTCTCTGTGTTCCTCCAGGTTACCTGTGCCTGCTTCCACCCTCTGTGTCCTCCCTCTTTGTGTCTTGAGTTTTGCCAGGAGCTCCTTCTTCATCCATGCAGGCCTCCTGATATTTTTGCCTGAGTTTCTGCTCATTGAGCTTGGAGGAGGTGGTCCTTGAATATCAGCCAGCTTTCTTAGATGTGAGGCTACTTCTAGTTGTCTGTACAAGCTGCTGTAGGTGTTTTCTGCATCATTATCTTGACACCAGGCCAAAACTTTCAAGTATACACAGAAGGTGTTATTAAACAGTCTTCAGTAAAACATATTTTCTGAGCAGCATTTTTCTCAAACTTTTCAAAAGTCATAGCTACAGGAAATGGAAGAGGGAAGTGAGATTTTTTTAATTTAATCCTACATTCAGTGTTTTGAAAGCATGTCTTACGCATCCTTTCTTTCTGAGTTTTACAGCTCCGTAGACCCATTTTTGGAAAAAGATGAGGTTATTTGTAGGTTTTGCTTCAGCATCATCAATAACATTATTATTTTTCCTTTTATAACGACACATTATAAACCACCAAGCAAACTGAGACTGCTGCTTAACAATAGGTTCTGCACGGCTTCTGAAAAATGAAAGGATGGATGCAGACCTGCACATGGGTTTTTGTGGACTTCACAGAGCTGGCAGACCTAATCTGCCCAGGCCTTGAAGCTGACCCACTGCAGATGGTGACATTTCTCAGCAAGCCATCAGAATAATCGTGGCTCCCAATTAAAAGAGAAAATTGAAGCAGTAGAGATAGCACAGCAGTATTTTAAACACATGAGATAAATCACATCTTTTAGAAAAGGTGGGTCCTCAATTCCTAACCTCTGAGCAGTGTTGATATTCTTCATGGTATAAAAATTATGTCAATATATTTTTAGCATTGCATCTTTCTCAGCATCAAAACTCCCAGAAGTTTGGGATTATGATTACTGTTCTCCTCCCCACCATTGTCACTAACTAGAAGTTTGGTTAGCAAGATCAGGACTTCCAGGAATAGGTTTACTGGGAAATCATCTTAAAAATATACTAGGTCCATGCAGATCAAAACTGAGGCACTTTTTCATATTAATATTCAGAAATTTCAACAATCGTTACACAAAGTTTACCTGGGAGGGTGACAACTGAGTCAGTCCTTCACCCTCCAAAGCTGTGGGTGGGACAAAAATTGAAAAGAAATACACTCTCTTCCTACCTACCTACCTACCTACCTACCATTGTGCCACCAAAGGGTCTGTAATGTGTAATAAAAAAGTGGGAGATAATTATAGAGGTTGAAAAAGTTTTATAATGTTTCTCTTCTCTGTTTCAAAAATATTAACCACAAATTGAGTTATCATAACAATTATTCTTAACTGCAATAAACATTGCAATAGCAGTTTATTAAAAATAGATTCCTGTTATTATAATTTTAAATCTTGGTAATAGCCTCAGCCAAGAGGGGTTTTTGCTCTCTTTACTCCTAAATTATTGTGTTTGAAAAAAGAACAGCCATTAACTGGGAAATATTTTTATATTTCTGTGCTTCCCAAGTG